AATGCTATCCACATCTAAAGAAAGAACTATGGAGTTTGAATGCAGATCGAAGCATACTATTTGCTATTTTTTTTTCTTCTTTTAAGTTTTGTTTTCTCTTTCTGGTGGTTCCTCCTATTGGTTCTAATTCTTACTTGCAACATCACTAATATGAAAATATGTTTAATAGGAATGTATATGTATAATCTATATCAGATTATGCACTGTCTTGGGAAGGGTGGTGAGGAGAGAGGGGGAAAAATTTTAAACTCAAAAGCATATGGAAGTGATCAGTGATAAATCAAAATAAATTAATTTTTAAAAAAGCAAAAAAATAAATATATTGTTTAAAGAATAACTGTAAATGACTAAATTATTCTGAGTATTATAAATACTCAAATCATCTACAAAGGACGTATGAAGGAATATGCTACCCACCTCCAGAGAAAGAACTGATAAATAGAATTACATACATTATATGTGTGTTACATATAACATATAAGTGTATTGCACATGTGTTACATATATGATGTGTATGAGATGGTGGCCTCTATACACACACACATACACCATACACATATGTGTATATACCTGTGTCAACTGGTGGCCTTTACATACATACCATACCATACACATAGACAATATGTGTGTATATATGTATGTATCTATGTCAAGAGTGGCCTTTACATAAACACACACAGATATATAGATATAGATATATAGACACATATATCTATAGCTATCTCTCTCTACATATATACATATATATATATATATATATATATATATATATGTATTGTATATCTGTGTCAAATGGTGGCCTTTTCTATTGCAGGGTGGGGAGGGAGGGAGGGAGGAAGAAAGTTTAGAACTTAAAATGTAACCCGAAAAAGTAAAATTAAATTTAAAAAATCAATGAATAGATACTACTGTCTCCTGAAAGTTGTATATTTGCTATTATGAGCTGCAGTCACCCAAGGGGAACCTGGAACAGGAAATCATTTTCTTAAGAGAAAAGTGCCCTTAGGTTTTTGGGTGCTATATCAGTGCTCTTCACCGAGCACAAGGCCTTATGCATAGTAGGAACTTAATACATATTTACTAAATTGAATTTTATTCCAGCTTTTCCAGGTCTGTTTCACACATGCGGATAGGGTGGAACCTTATGGGAATTTCTAGCCCTTTTTATCAAAGGTCAGGAGATGGAGCAGGTGTAAAGAAATGCTTTTAAATCACAGCCCAGACACCTGAAACTACTGAATATTTTTGTAGCTAATAGGAAGTTTTTGGGCCACTCAGGCTGGACTCCAGGATCTGTGGCTAAGTCATCATGCAACTTAGGGGACACATCACGTCTCTGGCCTTCTCTTTCCTTTATGAAATAAGAGGGCTCAACTAGATCAGTGGTTCTTAACTGGGGGTCTATAGCCCCTTGTCTGAGGATAGATTCTGAGGGGAGGAGGGAGGGAACAAGCATTTGTTAAGCACCTACTACACGCCAGGCATGTACTAAATGTTTTACAAATGCCATGTCATCCTTCACAACAACCTGGAAGGTAGGTGCTATTATTACAGTTAAAGAAACTGAGGAAAATAGAAGTTAAATAACGTACCCAAAGCCACACATCTAGTTGCAAGTGTTTGAGGACAGATTTGAATTCTGGTTTTCCTGAGCAGCTATGTGGTACAATGTGATAGAGTGCTGAGCCTGGAGTCAGGAAGATTCATCTTTCTGAGTTCAAATCCAGCCTTAGACCCTAACTAGCTGTTTGACCCTGGGCAAGTCACTTAGCCCTATTTGCCTCAGTTTCCTCATCTGTAAAGTGAGTTGGAGAAGGAAATGGCAAACCACTCCAGCAGTTCTGCCAAGAAAACCCCAAATGGGTTACAAAAAGTCTGAAATGACCAAACAACAACAAATTTCCCAATTCTAGGCTCAGGAACTTGGATAAAAAAAAATTACATCTTTATTTTCACTAAGAATTATCCTGAGAAGAGGTCCCTGGGCTTCACCAGCCTGTCAAAGGTTTAATGATTAAGAACCCCTGAACTCAAAGGACCCCTAAAGTCCTTTCCTATTCTGACATTCCATGCTTAGGGATACAGGCAACTCCCTAAGATTCTTCAGTTGAAGAAAAGGTACCCACTTGCTCTGATAAGGAGAGTTTCCTCACCTTGGAGTTTTCTATATCAGTGAAATCACAAATCCATTCCCTGTCCAGGGGCAGTGAGGTGATATAATGGAGAGCATGCTGGGCTTGGAGTCAGGAAGATTAGAGTTAAATCTGGCCTCAAACACTTGCTACTAGTTGTGTGATCCTGGAAAATTATTTAACCTCTGTCTATCTCAATTTCCTCAACTATAAAAATGGGAATAACAGCACCTACCTCCCAGGGTTGTCTGAGGACCAAATGAGATGCTTGTAAAGCACTTAGCACAGTACCTGGCACATAGTAGGTACTTAAATGCTTGTTTCCACCCTTCTTTCCTATCCCCTTCTGACTCCAGGTTCTGCTGCTCTACACACTATTCCATTTTTATTGTTGTTGTCATTGTTGTTCAGTTCTGTGGGGTTTTCTTGGCAACCAATGAATTGATATATGACTGGAGGAACAGAACTATATTCACGTAGACATTTTCCATATAAATGTGTAAGAGGGATAGGGAACTTTGCCATGGCAGCAGAAATGCAGGATAGAGGTTGCCAGCTCTGTCCCTCTCCCTGCTGACATTAATTAACATTTCTTAGAGAAGTTTAACTATTGTAAGATAGTTGCCACAAATGATAGGACAAAAGGGACCCCAAACTGCATTAGCTATCAAACCTTTAATCTCCTTGCCAAGGTAAGAAACATGGTAACCAAAGGTAACACTAGTTCAGAGTACAACCATCATGGGAAAGGATGACAATATGAAAAAATGCTGTTAATCACTATTGATTAGAGAAATGCAAATCAAAACAACTCTGAGGTACCACATCACACCTATCAGATTGGCCAATATGACAAAAGAGGAAAATGATAAATGTTGGAGAAGATGTGGGAAAATTGGAACACTAATGCATTGTTGGTGGAGTTGTGAAATGATCCAACCATTTTGGAGAGCAATTTGGAACTATGCCCAAAGGGCTATAAAAATGTACATACCCTTTGACCCAGCAATAGCACTTCTAGGGTTATATTCCAAAAGATCATACAAATGGAAAAAGGACCCACATGTGCAAAAATATTTATAGCAGCTCTTTTTGTGGTGGCAAAGAATTGGAAATTGAGGGGATGCCTATCAATTGGGGAATGACTGAGCAAGTTGTGGTATATGAATGTAATGGAACACTACTGTGCTCTAAGAAATAATGAACAGGCAAACTTCAGAAAAACCTGGAAAGACTTGTATGGTCTGATGCTGAATGGAATGAGCACAACCAGGAGAATGCTGTACACGGTAACAGCTACGTTGTGCGATGACTAATATTGATAGATTTAACCATTCTCAGCAATACAAGGATCTAAGACATCTCCAAAGGCCTCATGATGGAAAATGCTGTCCACATCCAAAGAAAGAACTATGGAGTTTGAATGCAGATCGAAGCATACTATTTGCTATTTTTTTCTGTTGTGTTTGTTTCCTCTTTCTAGTGGTTCCTTCTATTGGTTCTAATTCTTACTTACACATCACTAATGTGAAAATATATTTAATAGGAATGTATATATATAGCCTATATCAGATTGCACACCATCTTGGGGAAGGAGGTGGGGAGGGATGGGGAGAAAAATTTAAAACTCAAAAGCATATGGAAGTGATTGTTGATAAATCAAAATAAATTAATTTTTTAAAAAAGGATAACAGAAATTTATAAGCAAAATTGGCAGACAATACACTGGAAAGCAGGAAGGAGAATCAAAGAAATGCAAATTAAAACCACTCAGAGGGGCAACTAGGTGGCATGGTGAATAGAGCACTGGCCCTGGAGTCAGGAGGACCTGAGTTCAGTGATTCTCATTAGATGTGTGACCTTGGGCAAGTCACTTAACCCCCAATTACTTCATCAAAAAAAACAAACAAAAAAACCCACTCTGAGCTTCCACCTTCCACCCAATAGATTGGAAAAGTGACAGTCATTGGAGGAGATGGGGACAAACAGGCACAACATTGTACTGTTGGTGGAGTTGAGAAATGGTCCAGCCAGAGTCAGTTTTTATGTCTTAGAAATGAGACCCTTATCAGAGAAAGTTGCTGCAAAGGTTTGGTTTTGTTTTTTCCCCAGTTACCTGCTTCCCTTCCAATTTTAGTTACATTGGTTTTGTTTGTGTAAAACTTTTTTAATTTTATGAAATCAAAATTGCCCATTTTATCTTCTGGGATTATCTCTGTTCCTTGTTTGGTCGTGAATTCTTATCAATAGATCAGAAAACAATTTTTTCTTTGCTTCTCTAATTTGCTTTTGATGTCACATTTTAGGTCTAAGTCATGCATCTATTTGGAGTTAATTTTGGTACGTGGTGGTAGTAGCAGCCTGAGTGCTACCTACACTGACTCTTCAAAGAAACCCAGCTGTCCCTCTTTCTTCTACCTACCCTACCCCTCCCTAGGCCCCAGGGAGGGGACAGGGACAGGCACCAGGCTATTTGAATAGGCCTGGCCTCTGAGAGACAGTGAGTCATTAGGTCATTCTTTGTCTCCAGGTACCGCCAACAGAAAAGAAAAGCTTCTTTACTGCAGCCTCAAACCAAGAAAACAGTTGGAGCCAAGTGTAGACCAGAGGAGAAGGGAAGGAGGGGGGCTAAGGCTAAGGAAGCTACTTTGAAGAGGCTACTGTAAGTGAGGAATGACTTAGGGAGGGACCCATTACAGGCTGAAGCCCTGCCTGGGGACAGACATCTACCTGAGAGCTTGGCCCTAGGAACCTCAGGACAGAAGACCTACTGGGTTGGGTGCAGTCTAAGAGAAGTCAGACCCTAAGGGCCCTGAGTGACCCTCTTCATTCTCTGAGGTTCCTGCTCCCTAAGCAGCACTTGGAACTATGGATAAATTCCGTATGATCTTTCAGTACTTCCAGTCCAGCTCAGAGTCCATAATGAACGGGATCTGCCTTATCCTGGCTGTGGCCACTGTAAAGATCTACTCCTCCTTTGACTTCAACTGCCCCTGCCTTCCCCGTTACAATACGCTCTATGGCCTGGGCCTCCTGTTCACACCCCCTGTGGCCCTTTTCCTCTGTGGGCTCATTGCTAACAGGCAGTCCGTAGTGCTGATCGAGGAGTGGAGGAGACCCATGGGAAGAAGGAAGAAGGACCCAGGCATCGTCAAGTAAGTCACCTTCCTTCCTCCTTCCTTTCTTCTCTACGGTTCCTCCCTCCTATCCTTCTGCCCTTTCTTTCTTTTCTATTCTTCTTTTCTTTATGTCCTCCTTTTCTGTCCTTCCCTCTCTTCTTCATCCCTTCCTTGTCCCTTCTCTTCCTTCCCTGTCCTTTCCCTTCCTTCCCTTCTTCTCTCTCTTCCCCTCTTTTCTTCCAATTGTCATTACCTCCTACTTTCTCTCTTCTCTCTTGATTCCTCCCTTCCTTCCTTCCTTCTCCTCCCTTCTCCTTTCCTGGTTATATTATAGTGCTATTTTGCACTACCCATATTATATACAGTAAGAAAAAACAATAGGAAAAGGTTTAAAATCATTACAAGTGCTCTGGAGTAGAAAGAATTTAATAGATAAAATGAAAGCTCCTTGAAGGCAGGGATTTAAAAAAAATTTGTCTTCTTATCTACCCTCAGAACCTGTCGCAATAGTTAACACATGCTTAATAAATGTTCATAGGCTGATTGGAATCAATTGATTAGAAAGTGTTATATTATTCATTACTATGACACACATTGTGTATGATATATATATATATACACATATATATCATTCATGAATTATTTTATTTTTATCATAATAAGAATTCCAATAAAAAGCAACCAAATAAAAATAATAAGGAAGAAAGCCACAAATTCTAAATTACTTGGAGTTTGCTAAAAGGATTTATATCTATAAATACATCAATTATATACTATATATATATATATATATATATAATACATCAATTATATACTATATATATATATATATATATATATATATACATACACACACACACATATGTAAGAAAACAATGTCACAGTTACTGTATCCCTTTCCAATCTCTTTGGCCACAGTATCTTTTTAGGCACTTAGCAGATTTGGTTGCTTTTTTTATGTAGTTTAGGGGTCTGTATGTTTCTGCTTTCTTCACGAGGCATCATTTTGTTAAGTCAAATCACACTCTGTGTGAATCTTTCCATGTTTCTTTGTGTTCATATTTGCTATTTATATGGCCATGCATGTTTTATACACTGCCCATGTTATACTCCTCATTTCAGTTCTATAAACTCTTTACAATATGAGCAGGAAGACTACTCTGTATTATATATGCTTTTTATTTGTGTGTGTGTAATATGTACAAAGTGTTGTTACAAGCACTGATACATATGCTATGTTATCCATGCTATGAAGCTGAGGGATCTCATGTTGAACATATGTATGTTATATTTTCTTGCTACATGAATGCTGTACTTGCTAGGGAGGGCTTTAAAAGCAAATGACAGACATTTTGAAGGGCTCCTGTTATATGTCTGAACCCTGGCCCTCAATCATTAGTGAGGTTTGGTTCCAGAACTGCCCCTTACGTGGAACCTCGGGCAAATCATTTCAACCCTGTGCATTTGCTCATCTATAAAACAGAGGTCATACTTACGTATCCTATCTCCTAAGCCTGTAGTAAGGAAAGTACTTTCTAATTTGTGTAGTGGTCTATGGATGTGAGTTAGGATGATGAGGATGATATAAAGGTGAGTTTTCATTGTTCTGTAGTCACTAAGACCTCACCTTGAAGCGGAGGTGACCCTGCTTCCTTCGAGACTAGCTCAAATCCCAGCTTCTGCAGGTCTTTGCTGGTCCCTCTAGCCATTGGCGTCTTCTGAGATTCCTTTCCTCTACTCTGCACAAACCTCCTATGTACATAATTATTTGCATCTCGTCTCCCTCATCAGAATGTAAGCTGAGGATAAAGACTGGTGTTGCCTTTCTACACACTCCAAAGTGTTTAGCACAGTACCTGCAGCCTAGTAAACCTTAAATGCTTGTTAACTCTTATTGCTGTTTCTGGTATTGGGGTCAACTTGGCATAGAGCAGGATATTTGATGCCATGCAGAGAGGAGTCTGGGGCAGCAATTGGGAAGGTGGATCAGAGGCTCCAGATGTAGGGGTTGGAAAAGCCTTAAAAAGGAGCCCAGAAGTAGAAGTACAAGTCTGGAAGTAGAAACAGGAGCCAAAATCTAGACCAAGCATTCCAAGGAACATAAGCAAGCTATGTCCTTTGTCCCGCTCATCACTGGAAGCTAGGCTAGGTGTGTCAGTCATGTCTGATTCTTTGTGACCCCATTTAGGGTTTTGTTGGCAGAGATAACAGAATGGTTTTGCCATTTCCTTCTCCAGATCATTTTACAGATGAGGAAACGGAGGCAAACATGGTTAAATGATTTGCACAGCTAGTAAGTGTCTGAGGCCGGATTTGAATTCAGTTCCTCTTGACCCCCAGGCCCAGAGCTCTATCCACTGTACTACCTAGTCAGGACCTAGGGGAAGAGAACTTCAGTAATCTCCCTCAGTGTTACCTAGTCTGACATTGCACTTTCTTCATTGGGTGTTGGGAGTTTAGGAAAGGGGATGGAGAGTGTAAAGGGTTTCCTTCTGTCTTCCCTATAGCCTACCATACACAGTTTGGATAGCATACTGGACTTGAAGTCAAGAATGTCTGGGTTCAAATTCCACCTCTAATATTTATTGACTGTGTGACCCTGGTCAAGTCACTTAACTTCTCTGTGCCTCTGTTTCTTCATCTGCAAAAAGCAAGGGCTAGATTCAATGGCTCTACAGTCTCTCTAGTGCTAAATCTCTGATCCCACAGTCCCAGGCTGCCAGGCCGGGGTACTTAAGACCCTGATTGTCTCCCTGCTCTCTTCCTTCCCCCATTCCACAGGTACTTGTGTTCTTCTGTCCTGCAGCGTGCCCTGGCTGCCCCTGTGGTCTGGATCCTCCTCGCTCTCCTGGATGGGAAGTGTTTTATCTGTGCCTTTAGCAGTTCAGTGGATCCTAAGAAGTTTTCAGACTTTGCTAATATGACGGCTAGTGATGTGCAGCTCTTCCTGAGCAAGGTGCCCTGCAAAGACGATGAGTTGGTGAGAGACAATCCTGCCCGGAAGGCTGTGTCCCGGTACCTGCGCTGTCTATCACAGGTAACCTGGAGGTGCTCTGGTCCTTTCACCTCACTTACCAAGCCTCCGTCCCAGGTCAAGTACCTTTGCTTAGCATTTCATTCCAGGAGGTCAAGGAACCAAGAACACAGACGCAACCGCTCCAGAGGTCAGATAGCTTTACTCTTCTCTGGCCTCAGATAGTCATGCTGATCCTAGCCAGGTTGCACACTAATGCCTGCCATAAAGTGGTGAAATACTTCAAATGGTTCAATAAAAACCTGTCCCTTCTGGTAGAGACAAACCCAAAGTGTCCATCTCACCAAGTGTGGATCAGAAGAATCTTCAGGTATTTGATGGACATTATAACTAGATGTTGGGGCAGCTAGGTGACCCAGTGGATGAAGTGCTGAGTGCCAGGCTTGGAGTCATAAAGACTCATCTTCCTGAGTTCAAATCTAGTCTCAGACACTTGCCTCAGTTTCCTCATCTGTGAAATGAGCTGGAGAAGGAAATGGCAAACTACCCCAGGATCTTTTGCCAAGAAAACCCTAAGTAGGTTCACAAAGAGCTGAACGTGACTTAAACAACTGAACAACAAAAACAAAATAACTGAACGCTAAAAAGCAAGACAGCTCCCACACTGAGCTAAGACCAGGACATCCCCTTCCCAGAACAAGAAGGAAAAAAGAAAAAAAACAAAGACAGCTCTGCCATTAAACCCTCTAAATCACATATAAGGGAATGGATCCTTTTAGCCAGTGAAGTGCCTACTGTGTACCCAGTGCAGAAGACAGAGGTGAATGAAACAGGTCCCTGGATAATATCGCTTTACAAATACTACCTCATTTGATCCTCATTACAACCCCATGGGGAAGGGGCTATTATTATACCCATTTTATAGATAAGGAAACTGAGGCTGATGAGTTAAATGACTTGCCCAGGGTTGCACAGATAATAAGTATCTGACACAGGATTCAAATGCGGGTCTTCCTGACTTCAAGTCCAGTGTTCTAGCCACTGTGCCTAAAGGGAGGCACAGAGCAGGAAGGGACCTTAGAAATCATCAAATCCAAACCTGTCATTTCACAAATGAGGAAACTGAGACCCAGGGCAGTTAAGTGATTTGCCCAAGGACACACAGCTAGGAAATGTCTGAAGCAGGCTTTGAACTTGGGTCTTCCTGGCTCCAGGTCCAGGGCTCTAGCCATGCTGCCTCCCCTAAACTTTTAAGGAGCTGACAGTATCACTGAAGAGATGGATGGGACACACACATGAAAAGAGAATTAGCCAGATAAGACCACATAGGCTATGTGACAAATAAGTATATCTTGAAGTAATAGTATGAGAATTAGGAGCCAGGATACTTGAGTAAAGACTCACTGTGTGACCTTGGGCAAGTCATTTTCCTTTCTCAAGGACTTAGTCTCCTCCTTTGTAAAATGAGAGAGGGCTGGACTAAATTATCTCTAAGTCCTTCCAGTTCTGAGATTCTATCATTTACAATTTACAAAGTCACTACCTATATATTTACACTTTCATATAGATTATTTTATAGGTTTCACACAACAGCTCTGACACATTGGCAAGGATGGTAGTAATATACCCATTTTGCAGATGAGGAAAAGGAGACTCGGGCAGTGAATTGATGTACCCAAAGGTCACAGAGCTAGTAAATGGAAGACTCAGTGGTAGAACGTGCAAGGAAGAAGGAGAGTGTGCTAAGTACCAGAATGACCAAATGCTCTTTGTCTCGGTGGGCTGGGTTAGGCTATAGGTCACTCTCTCCTCCTCTCTCCCAGGCTATTGGCTGGAGTATCATGCTGACGCTCATTGTGATGGCCTTCCTGGCCCGGTCCCTGCAGCCTTGTTTTGACCAGACCCGCCTAGTTCAGCGGCGCTACTGGAGTAACTACGTAGACCTGGAGCAGAAGCTGTTCGATGAGACATGCTGTGAGCATGCCCGGGACTTTGCCCACAAGTGCGTCCTACACTTTTTTGACAGCATGCGAAGCGAGATGAAGGCACGAGGGTTAGCTGCCGCCCGGCAAGATGGAGTCATCCCCTGGGACAGCAAGGCAGAGGCTGAAGGCCAGGAGAGAGAGGGGGGGAAGAAAGACCTCCTGCGTGGCATCGCCAACCAGAAGCAGGTGAACCAGCTGCTGACCACGTGGTACAGGAGCAAGCCCCCCCTGGACATCACACAGGCCCTTCAGCCTCCACCCGGAGAAGGTGGAGGCAGCCTCAGCCACCGAGCCACCTCCTGTCCTCCGGCCACCAGGTTCTCCCAGCACACAGATGTGTAAGGAGAAGGTGAGCCCAGGGACCAAAGGACCAGGTCAGGCCTTAAAAGAGCTGCTTTCTGTACGTTGTCATAAACCATTACGCAAAGGCCACTTGGACTGGTGGAACCAGATTTAGAAGCAAAGGCTCAGGTTCAAAATCGAGCTCTGCTCCCTTTTACCTGTGTGTTCTTGGAGAAGTTACTTGTTCTCTCTGGGCCTCCTTTTTGACACTTTTGAAGCAAGAGAATTGAGTTAGAGAATCAGTAAAGGTAACTTCCAGCAATTCAGAAGGTTGCTAAGGCTGAACCCCTGCCTCCCCAAATAATGAAAGACTCATTCTTTCTAGGCATTTTTCTATAGACACAAAGCATATTTTCTATAGGTTGGCTCTCTGTAGGTTCTAGATAGTTCTTGATGTGCTCTAAGGGTGTTCCAGGCTCTCTGTAGGTCCTAGATAGTTCTTGATGTGCTCTAAGGGTGTTCCAGGCTCTCTGTAGGTCCTAGATAGTTCTTGATGTGCTCTAAGAGTGTTCCAGGCTCTCTGTAGGTTCCAGATAGTTCTTGATGTGCTCTAAGGGTGTTCCTGGCTCTCTGTAGGTCCTAGATAGTTCTTGATGTGCTCTAAGGGTGTTCCTGGCTCTCTGTAGGTTCTAGATAGTTCTTGATGTGCTTTAAGGGTGTTCCTGGCTCTCTGTAGGTTCTAGATAGTTCTTGATGTGCTCTAAGGGTGTTCCTGGCTCTCTGTAGGTTCTAGATAGTTCTTGATGTGCTTTAAGGGTGTTCCTGACTCTCTGTAGGTTCTAGATAGTTCTTGATGTGCTCTAAGGGTGTTCCAGGCTCTCTGTAGGTCCTAGATAGTTCTTGATGTGCTCTAAGGGTGTTCCTGGCTCTCTGTAGCTCCTAGATAGTTCTGGATGTGCTCTAAGGGTGTTCCAGGCTCTCTGTAGGTCCTAGATAGTTCTTGATGTGCTCTAAGGGTGTTCCTGGCTCTCTGTAGGTCCTAGATAGTTCTGGATGTGCTCTAAGGGTGTTCCAGGCTCTCTGTAGGTTCTAGATAGTTCTTGATGTGCTCTAAGAGTGTTCCAGGCTCTCTGTAGGTTCCAGATAGTTCTTGATGTGTTCTAAGGGTGTTCCAGGCTCTCTGTAGGTTCTAGATAGTTCTTGATGTGCTCTAAGAGTATTCCTGGCTCTCTGTAGGTTCTAGATAGTTCTTGATGTGCTTTAAGGGTGTTCCAGGCTCTCTGTAGGTCCTAGATAGTTCTTGATGTGCTCTAAGGGTGTTCCTGGCTCTCTGTAGGTCCTAGATAGTTCTTGATGTGCTCTAAGAGTGTTCCTGGCTCTCTGTAGGTTCTAGATAGTTCTTGATGTGCTCTAAGGGTGTTCCAGGCTCTCTGTAGGTTCTAGATAGTTCTTGATGTGCTCTAAGGGTATTCCTGACTCTCTGTAGGTTCCAGATAGTTCTTTATGTGTTCTAAGGGTGTTCCTGGCTCTCTGTAGGTCCTAGATAGTTCTTGATGTGCTCTAAGGGTGTTCCTGGCTCTCTGTAGGTCCTAGATAGTTCTTGATGTGCTCTAAGGGTGTTCCTGGCTCTCTGTAGGTCCTAGATAGTTCTTGATGTGCTCTAAGGGTGTTCCAGGCTCTCTGTAGGTTCTAGATAGTTCTTGATGTGCTCTAAGGGTGTTCCTGGCTCTCTGTAGGTCCTAGATAGTTCTTGATGTGCTCTAAGGGTGTTCCTGGCTCTCTGTAGGTCCTAGATAGTTCTTGATGTGCTCTAAGGGTGTTCCAGGCTCTCTGTAGGTTCTAGATAGTTCTTGATGTGCTCTAAGGGTGTTCCTGGCTCTCTGTAGGTCCTAGATAGTTCTTGATGTGCTCTAAGGGTGTTCCTGGTTCTCTGTAGGTCCTAGATAGTTCTTGATGTGGTCTTAGGGTGTTCCCTTTAAGTTCAGCCAGGTTCTCAGTAGGTTTGATGGGTATTGAGCTAAGCCATGCTTGTTGGATGCCTCTCCCCTAATTTCCACCCTCTGCTTTCTGGCCAAAATGGACTATTCACAATTCTCTGAATTTGCCATTTCACGCCTCCTCCCCTCCTTTGTCTTCCCATAAGCTATCTTGGATGGCTAGAATGCATTCCCTCTTCATCTCTACATCTCAAACGATCATAGATATAGAATTGGAAGAAACCCTGGAGACTATCTAGCCCAATTCTATCCTTTTACAGATAGAGAAACTGAGATCCCAAGAAGTGAAATGACTTACCCAAAATAGCATAAGTAGTGAGTATCATCCTTCAAGGCTCAGTTCAAGGGACCACTTTCCTTGATCTCTACCTTCCCCTACATCTCCAGTTAGAGATAGAATGTAAGCACCTTGAGGACAGGGACTGTTTTCACTGTTGTCTTTGTACACCCCTCCCCAGTTCCCAAAGCTTAGTTTAGTGCCTGCCACAAAAGAGGTTAATAAATGCTTTGAACTGAATTGCCATGCACTGTATATACATTCTCTCCCCACCGGCACTCACCTCTAGAGCTGAGGTGACCGTAATCACAAGCCTAGAACTACTCCTGTAGTTTTTTATACCCCCAATTAAGGGCCCTTTCCAAGGCTATTGATTGACTGAGGCAGCTCTCCTGCTAAATAAAGCCTGCAGTTGGGGCATGCAAATGTTTAAAGGGCCACTAGGTCCCCGTGGAATTTAAGCAAAGTCAGAAAGCTGGTACAGGAAAGAAGTCTCCAGAATGGGCATCATGGTATCATAGGAGTTAAAGGCCTTTGATTTAGTGACGTGGAAGCCTTAGACATGATCTATCTCGATCCTAGTAGAAATGGAATTCAAACCCAAGTTATTTTAGGATCATAAGGTTCTAGATTTAGGGCTGGGAGGGACCTCAGAGGTCATCTGATGGCCCAGCTCCCTCATTTTACAGATAAAGAAACTGATGTCCAGGAGGCAAGCGACAGAGCTGGAATTTGAGCCCAGTTTCTCTGACTTTAGATCCCATGTTCGTTTTTTTCCACAATACCACATTTTGGGAATAACAACAATAATAAGAACTCATGTTTATGTAAGGTTTTAAAATTTGCAAAACACTTTCTTCCCAGACATCCAGATCTTGTGAGATTAGTAGGAATGGCAACTAGTTATTATTCCCATTTTATAGATGCTACTGACATCCCTTTAAGATTAATTTCTTCTGTATATATCTTCTTTGTCTGTAATTGTTTGCATGTTGTTATTCCAAATATGGGACCTGGGGAGAAACCCCAGTCACTCTTCCCTACGTATGATTCTGAATGGCTACTCACATTCTTGTGTTTTCCCCTCACCCTCTTAGTTAACCAGGTATTTGCCTTTCCTCACCAAATTGGATAAAAAAAGGAATTATCACATACAACTAACCTGTTTCCTATCATCCAGAAAAGAGAATTATTAATTCTGACACCCAGCTCACCTACAAAGCTCAGAAAAGACAATCTCTTTGCTTACATTAAGTTTTAGGGCTGGCAGCATTTCAATAGATAGAGATAAGGAGAGGGACATTCCAGGTAGAGGGAACCAGGTGAACAAGGGGTGGAGGCAGGAAAGCACAGGGTAAATTCAGTCTAGAAGGATTTAATAAGCACCTATTACATGCATGGACAGCTAGATGGTAAAGTGGGTAGAGCTCTAGGCTGAGTTCAAATCCAGCCTCAGACATTTACTAGCTGTGTGACCCTGGACAAGTCACTGTTTGCCTCAGTTTCCTCATCTATAAAATGAGCTGGAGAAGGAAATGACAAACCACTCCAGTATCTCTGCCAAGAAGACTCCAGATGGGAACATGAAGAGTTGGACACTACTGAAAATGACTGAACAACAACATAGGCTAAGCCTGAGGATAAAAAAAGGGGCAAAAACAGCCCATGTTCTCAAGGAGTTCATGGTTTAATGGGGAGAGAACACACAAACAGCCACGTACAAACAAGATATATGCAGGATAAATTGGAGATAATCTTAGAGGGATTAAAGATGGGGAAACTAAGGTCTAACGAGGTTAACTGACTTATACAAGGTCACAAAGGTAGTAAGCTTCAGAGGAAGGATTTGAACCCAGATCTTCTAACTGCAAAATCAGTGGTCTTTCAAGTGTACTATGCTGTTATGATGACTTCTGAGAGGCCCCCAATTCCCTAATCTAGCCTAAGATAATTAAAATGTCTGGCAGAATCTTTGGCTCCCCACGATTTAACTTCTGGGATCTGACATTCCCCCTTGACCTTGACCGTAGGACAAAGTCAGGATGGCATCTCTTGAAGCTACCACCACTACCAACACCCCTGCCAATTTGGGATTCCTGCCCAGGGCAGAGCTCATTGTATTATTCTACAATTCCTGATTTACTTGACAGCTGACAAGCTGTTTGTAAACGTTTGAAACAACTGTGCCATCCTCCTAAAACCGTAAAATTATAGGGGTTTCCCCATCATTTAGATAATGGTTTTACATATATATACATATTTGTGTGTAATGGTAGCCATCTCTAGGGCAAGGGGTGGGGGGGTGAGGGAAGGGAAAAAAAAGAAAATTATATGATAATTTTATTGTATATTTAAAAGGAATAGCAAGTTGTACAAAATAGATTTGCAGTTTCATGTACAATCATCTTTTTTCTATGCTACTATGGTATGGAAATGTTTATTTCTTAAGTTCAGAATAAAATAAATAAAAAAATTTTTAAAGATATTTAATAGTAAAATACATATTTACTATTTCACAATTAAACTGAAAGATGTAGAGTATATATATAGATATATATATGTTGTGTGTATACACATATACATATATATATATATATATATATGTATATGAAAACTGAGTTTAAGCCCCAGTTTAATGGTTCACAGAAAGCTACTGCTTTTTTTAAACAGGCTAAATCTCAGAATGAGAGATTCCTGATTGTTTTTTCAAGGCAATTGGAGTTAAGTGACTTGCCCAGGGTCACACATTAGTAAGTGTCAAGTGTTTGGTCTGAGGCCGCCTTTGAACTCAGGTCCTTCTGACTTCAGGACCGGTGCTCTATTCACTGCCCCATGTAGCTGCCCCTTCCTGATGGGTCTTTAAAGGA